ACAAAAGGGTTAAGAAATGAGGAACCAAGACAGGCTGGCTGGGCTGCAGTGGTTTGGCTGGTGTGATAGAATTTTTCAGACTCCACAAAAATAAAGCCTCACTATGTGCTACCCAAAGTCCTTGCAGACTTCCCTGCTCTTTTTAGAGACCCATACTTTCCCTCCACTTTTAGTGTTTTATAAGATACCTTTCCCATGAACAAATCTCCAGTTCTTGCTTCCCGGTCTTCCAGAGCTAAATGGAAGCACAGCGATAAAGATTCTAAAAGACTGAAATAGGCTTGCAATTTTGTCTTAACAGCAATGCTTTGCCTGCTCAGTTAAATTTCCTATCATTTCAAGTTTGGTGACTTATTTCCTATACTTTCTGTAGCAATCTTATTTTTACCAGTCAAGCCTTTGACTAATGCTTTTTGGCCACTGCACGCAGTTTCCTTTTAGCTTTTTCCTTTGTGACCTCTGATGCCTGGAATTGGATTAAAAACCCTGTTTTTTTTTTTTTTTAAGAGCTTGTTTTACATTCAAAGTCAGGCGTACATTTAGTTTCATTCTCCATTCGCCATGTCCAACCCCAACCCAGCCTCCTCCCCTCCCTACCCTGCAACACTTCCCCTGTGCCCCTCATAATCATGCACTCCTGTTTGCCCTGCATTTCCTCAGTTTAAATGTTGGTCCTTTGGTGTCCCGTGGTTTATTGCTTTAGGGGATGCATTACCCTTGAGTGTGTGGGTGCATAATCCTGGGTTGAGTGATCTGTGTGTGCATCTCGCTAACCATTTCACCGAGAGCCCGCCCCTGGGGATTTTATTCCAGGCGCCGAATGTATTTCAGGGCCATAGTATTGGGAGTCTCACCAGACTTCATCTACCAGTAATTCTGGTCTTAATAACCGTTTCACCTCTGGTCCTTGCATGGCTCTCAGTGTCTAGGAACCCATCACCCTACCCCCAAGGTAGAACATTACTGGTCACTTTTATCTACCTACGTCCTCTTGCCTAGACTGCTTGCCTTTTCCCCATGGGTAGTCTCTATTCAGAATTTTCTATTTATCATTCATTCCCTTGGTAGAGAAAAGTTTTATCATGTATCTGTATTTTAAGCAAATTATTTGCTCATTTTTTCAATTTTATAAGGATATCATACTGCATATACACACTGTATACTGGGTTCCCTCCCCACCCCATAAGTTACTGAAATGCAACTCTGTTGCAAACTGGGCTTTAATAGATCATACATTTTTGCTACTGGACTATGCCATCAACTGACTACCCATTCTCCTACAGTCTCCAGTAGTTTAGTTACAGCACAGCTGCAATGGCTCCTTGTATATATTCTTTTGGCATGGTTTCTTGATGCACATAATTCAGGAGCTCTGGTAGCATAGTGGCTAAAGCACTTGACTGCTAACCAGAAGGCTGGCGGTTCAAACCCACCAGCCACTCCTCGGAAGGAAGGTTGGGCAATCCTACTTCCGTAGTGATACTGCCTCGGAAACCCAAGGAGGGGTCACTATGAGTCAGGGCTGACTCGACGGCACATAACAACAACAACAACATAACATATATCCAGGGGGGAATTCCTGGGTTGTAGATATGTGTATGTCTTCATTTTTATGTAAATGAATTAATATTGCTTGAGTCATACACTCATTTTGAATTTTTCTTTTCCAGTTAGTGCTCTTTGTGTCTGTTTTGAGATCTTTTCCTACACTTCAATTCTACAAGTTGCTCATTTGTAACTTTTTTTTCAATGTTTTGAAGTCTTTGATCTGGAGCTGACATCTGTGCATGGCACTTATAAACACACACACACACACACACACACACACCCTACTGCCATCGATTCTGACTCATAGTGACCCTGTAGGAGAGAGCAGGAAGGCCCATGTCTTCCAAGGCTGTTAATCTTTATGGAAGCAGACCTTTCTCAACTATACCAGGGTCACTTATGTGATGTTGTTAGGTGCCAGTGAGTTGGCTCTGACTTACAGTGATCTTGGTTCAGGGATCCTATGCACAACAGAACCAAACACTGCCCTGTTGTGTGTCATCTTCACACTCTTTGCTGTACTTGAGCCCATCATTGCAGCCACTGTGTCAATCCATGTTGTTGAGTGCTTACCCCTTTTTTTGCTGACCCTCTTTACCAAGCAAGATACCCTTCTTCAGGGACTGGTCTCTTCTCGCTTCCAAGGAGCACGCTGGCTACACTTCTTCCAGGACAGATTTATGATAGGTGACCCTCATCCCTTCATCTTGTTTGGGAAACATTGCTACATGCATAGTGATCTGCTGAGCACATTCACAAATTTGTTTTTGCAGACATTTAGAGTTTTCGGTGGGAGCTCAAAAATGCAGTCTCAATGCCCCTTATTTTCTTAAATATCAAGTCCATATTCAGCAGTGTGGACACCGCATGGAGTTTTGCTGTGTATATTCCTGGTCTCTGACCTAGTCTTAAATTATCTTTTGAGATCAGGCGCTGGGACTAGGTGTTGTAAACAAGTCCCCCTTGTGATTCTAAAGCATTCAGTAGGAAACCCACAGGAAAGCTCAACACAACCCCTCTTCCTTCTACACTCTCACCCGCAAGAGCATGAACGTTAGGTCTAAGTGCCTTCACCTTGATCTCTGTACATGCCATAACCTACGTCTGGATTCGATTCTGCATCCTGACTGGGATAAAATCTCTAAGCAGCCTTTCTTCAACAGACTAGTGGCTGACCCAAGCCAAGCATCCAATACTAGAAAATTAAGCACCTACTGAAAATACGGACACGATTTTTGAAGTTCTACAGTTAGAAATTCATCTGACAAGTCTTAATAATTATGATTAGGCTACTTCGGCTGGGCTTTCAGGAATTTTATGGAATGAACTCAGATGCAATTTTAAAGTACACATGGCCAACTATATCAATCTCTGGTTATCATCTATGCTTGGTAACAGCTGTGCTTCAATTCATTAAAACTTGGTTTCTGCAAACAAGATACACGATGTCTGGACCAAAAAAATCACCCTTACAAAATTGGGTTGTTATGTGCCATCGAGTCGGACCCAACTCAAAGCAACCCCTCCTTGGCTTTCTGAGGCAGTATCACTATGAAAGTAGATTGCCCCATCTTCCTTCCGAGGAGTCGCTGGTGGGTTTGAACCACCAGCCTTCTGGTTACCAGTCAAGTGCGTTAGGCACTATGCTACCAGAGCTCCTACAAAATTGGGTAGTTAATGGTAATAACAGTGCAGGTGTGGATGTCTTCCAACTAGCTGACCTATCATGAAAAAGTTATTCCACCAAGTTTCATGTTCTGAAGTTTTTGGGGTCAATATTAATGTAAATTAAAGTGGCCTTCTAGGGGTTCACAAGAGTAGCATAATCATTTGTGGACATACAAGAGGCAATTATTTTTAAAATAAAACTTGTGGAGTTTTACAATATATCTACTACTGTGATTTCTTTTCTTGTTGTTGAGTCCTTGAGCACCATTTTGTCATCCATAAAAGAAAACCAGTTCCTTAAATGTTGGTTGTGGTTTCTAAACCTATCTACCCTAACCCATCTCTGTTTTATATTTAGAAAAGGAACCAAGCCCACCATTTGCAGGTACTCAGTCTCAGTAAGCACCCAAAGACTGCAGATACTACAATCCCACCACTGTAGTTTTTAAAATGGTTTATGACAAAACATCATTTATGACTCTGAGCACATGGCACCAAAGGGAATTCCTAACATTGGAGCTCTTTCGGTGACAATGACTCACTTAAATCCAAATAAAGTGCTCTTTTCCTCTGACTCCATAAATCATTTAAAATGGTACCACGGCTGTAAAGTCTCCAAAATTCTTGGACCTTCATCCAGAGCCTATGGAAGATTTAAAACACTTCACTGTTAACACAGTCCCCAAAGTCGTTCAATCAAGGTTTTATTCAGGTTGAGATTTGACTAAATGGATCAGTGACTGCAGCCTCCAAGTTGGCCTTGACTAGTTTTAATATAACGAGCTCCGATGGTGTAGTTAAGGCACTTGGCTGCCAACCAAAAGGTTGGTGATTACAACCCATGAGCTGCTCCAAAGACAAGACACTCTGCTTCCGTAAGGATTTACAGTTCTGGAAACCCAAGGGGGTCGCTATGAATCAGAATCAACTCCACAGCAGTTAAGTTTTTAATACATGCTTTGGGCATTAGTAACTCTTCTGTATGGACTATAGGAAGACCCCCCCACACACAAAAAAAGAAATTGAGCCCCTATAGTTAAGCCACTTGGCATCCATTCTTTTAATCCTTTCACCTCCTCCGTCTCCCCACTAGCCTACAATAGCACAAGTAGCAGAACTACTAACTGGACAAGCCAGGACACAAGCAGGGACTACAGGAGAGCCTACACACCCTTCTGACTACTCACACTGCTGCTCCACTCTCCGTAGGGTAACTCTAAGTGGCCAATTTAAAAAAAAAAAAAAAAAAAAAACCACCACACGGTATTTCACACACACAAAATACAGTGTTAAACCCTCCAATTTCCTAGCAGTATCATGTTTATCAAGAAAAATGGATACAAAGCCTGGATTTAGGATAGTTAATGAAATAAGGTAGAAGTTACACATAAATTAACTATTCAAAATCCCAAAGCAAAATAACTCATGTTGGAAATCTTAAAAATAAAAGGAAAGCTAGAATGCTAAAAGGAGAACTACTACGTAGAAATACGTACTAGTATTAATGGAAGTATTTTACATTTTATTTCAGATTCAAACTAGATGAGTGATGAACATAAGAGGTATTAGGCAAAGGTGACATGTTTCAGATTTTATTTATAATTTGAGTGAGATCCATCTCCTGTCTAGCTTAATTTTCCTTTGCTATAAAATATTTCACCTTCTTGGCCTGGGGTCAGGAGAAATTAATAGGGAAGGTAAAAAGAGCTCTGAGTGAAGATGCATTATTATCTTGTCCCAAATGCATGACAGACCTTTTCTCCTTGAAACAAAGACCCCAAGGCCTCCAGTCTACTTTTATTTGAAGGTGTTATATGGGACAATCGTCCAAAAAAGTATGTATTTCCCAACTTAATCTGAGGTCATAATGGAACAAGCAACAAAACAGTATTTGGGATTTCAGTGTCTCACCCTTATCATCAAGACTCACTGCCTCCCATCATCAATATTTATTGAGCATTTACAGTGTACTAGGCACAATAGAACATACAGAAAACATTGTCCCTGCTCTTGAGGAGCTTACATTCTAAAAGAAAAAAATACACCTTTTAAAATGGCATTTCTGTTTGGTGTTTTCTGAAAGGTACTGAGGGAAGTATTCTGTAGGGTGCGCTTTGGGTATAACTTAGCCCCATCATTATTTAGAGAATAGAAGAAGAGAAAAGAGTTAAAGGCAGACTAATGACAGACCATTCAGGATAGGTAGGGCTTGTAGGGAGATAAACGCAATCTCATCAACTAAAGAGATCTGCCTGCAGGGAAGAGGATGAGGGAAATAGTTTGCAGGATGCAAGCAAAGGAAGCAGGGTCTCTTAGACATTGAGTGGAGCCAGAAAGATCATGCGGCCTTTTTCCAAGTACATGGCCACCAAGTAGAAATGACTGGTGACAAGACAGAATTAGGCTAAAAAGGGAAGGTAATCCTGTGTACCTGACAAATAGAAAGAATAAAGGGATCAAAATTGAAGGCAGGCTATAAGAGTATCAAGAAATCTTTAAAAACCAAAAGTGATTTGGAAGCACAAAACTTACAGTTAATGCTACCCAGTGTCACAATGAGCCAAGAACACTGTGGCTTCCTAAGTTAGAAAATGCCATATACCAGAAATGTCAATGGAACATTATTACTCTTTCTGTGTAATTTTCCCTCAAATTATTTTAAAGAGGGAAAGAGAGTGGAGAATGGGACATGGCTGGAAACAGTAGTAGTTCTATTAGTAGTATTTTTGTCATTATGATAAACTTTGTATTTAAACTTGGTAAAAGCCCATTAGCTGCCAAGAGGAATAAAGAATAAATTTCCCAAAATGTACAATTTCCTTTAGAGAAGTTTCAGAACCAAAAAACTAATTTACATGAAAAGCTGTAGAGAAAGTAGTTGAAAAGTCCATTCATAAAACTTTTATTCCACTTACATCAACTTAATACATGTTCTTAACAATTATGCTTGGATTGTTCATGAAAATTTCATAAGACATTAAACAAAGCTAGCCATCATCTCAAGTTATTTCCCTGTTAACTATTTTTTACAGCACATGCATGTTAGGCAAGTATCAAAAAAAAAAAAAAAAAAAAAATCACAAAAGCAAAAAACCTAAAAAAAAGTTAAATACATGGGTTTTTTGTTTTACTGCTGCACTTGATATACATGAAGTAATGGATATCAAGCGATTCATTTTTACTGCATCTTTACTTGTACATTTGTTCTTAGGTTGCCTAAAACATTTAAATACAAATAAAATGAGTGTAGCAAAATAATGAAAGCAAACAGCAGGTAACTTTACAAATAATGGAATGTGAACCGTTTCTGCCCTTCTCTGGAGTAAATTGGGTCACAACTTTGTCTGAAGAAACACTTCCGTAGCTGTAGTCAAAGGTGTACACATTGAGATTGTGTATTCCATAGATACACATGGTTCAGCATGTAATACCCATGGGTATCTATTTCTACCACAGCCTTTTAAGTGCTCCAAACCTTAAAGTACCCACAGTAACTACACATGTGACTAGAACCAATTATCCCTTTTAACCCCCACCAGGACAAACCAATATGTAGGCAGTTTTCTTTGTTTAGACATGGAAGCAGTTTCAACACTGGCCCTTGTGAAGCCACAATGTACCAAAAGTACTATGCCAAACATTTATAACTTGTATAAAAATTCCACAGCCCCATATTGGCCATCTCAAGATGAAAACAGGTAACTCGCTAAATGTTAACTGGCTCTACTCCCCTAATATTAAACATAAAACCACATGGGAAATATAGAAATTCAAATAGAAGTAACATAAACCTGTCATAAATCGTAAACAAAAAACTATTTGTGGGACAGCATGGATGACAAATGGTCTACTGTGTACATTTCAGAATGAGGCAGACAGAAGATGGAAGGCCGGTTAATTTTCCCCTCCTTCTCCTGCTTCAGCTTCGTCTCCTTGGGTATCTGATGTCCACAACTGTTAAAAGAAGGAAAGATTTTTCATTTGTAAAAAAATGAAAATTTTTTCATATATATGCCAAGCTGCCAGAATGTAAACGTGTTTTTTTATTTGAAAACCTTTCTTCAAAAGATGCCAGCGCTGAAAGTAATACCTCAAATACAAAACACTTCACCACATTTATTGTCCTTAATCATTTCTGTAAGCATCCAGCAGTTATCTTCAAATAACAAAGTCAGATACAAATACTTTCCTCATAGAAAGTGAAAACTGAAGAAACCACGAAGACAGGTGTGACAAAAGACTGAAAAATCAATTGTTAACAGAATATGGCAGAGGTGACAGACCAGTTGAATGCAACTAAACCAGGACCATTTAATTTGGCCCATGAACAGGAGCTGGGGCTGAGTGCTCTCCCCCAGGAGAGATGAGACGTGAGGCTCGCTCCAAGAGAGCCCCACGTGCCACTGAAGAGTCAGCACCCACTTGAGTTAAACTACAGCTTTACCTTTTCTGACTTTTTAGCTTACAAATTAATGATCGAAGACAAAATAATATGGTAAGAATCAAATCTGCTAAGAGGTCAAAAAAAGATTTTGTCTCACAGCTGTAGGATCATTATTTTATTAATAAATATTTTCATTAATGTTAGTTTTTAAACAAGTTGAAAAACTCCAAATTGCTATTTCATCTGATTCAATATAATGTTTTACAAAGTTTTACCACTATATAATGACTTTAAAAAGGTAATTATAAAAGCATTGATTCAAAATGATCTTAAATTTTATGTTGCTTACACACAGAAAAATGAGGAAAACATTGCTAGTCAAATGACATCTCTGAGTCTGTGTACTTCTGTTTAAACAAGGGGTGCTGTGAGACAAAATGAAATTGGGTCTTTTCCAGCTCCAACCTCAAAAGATGCTTGAATTTCCATATAAACATACAACAGTTTGATAAAGATAGTTCTCTAAAACTTTATGAGTTGATAATACTGTATTATTCAGCCAGATTTAGACTCAGATACTGGGCCAAGTTTGGGCAAATTTTCCTTAGATAAATGATCCAATCAACCTATAAATACAGCACAGAAGACACGTGTGACATGACAACAGAATTAGAACCAGAACCTTGATTTTCCTCCTATTCAGGCTCAGCTGTTACATTACAGTCTTCACCAACCCAACACTGTTACACCAACACCAAAAAAATGATAGTTAAATCTGGTCCTTTCAAAAATGATGACAACACAACATAATAACTAGGTCCCCAGCCCTACTTTTTAGAGTAATAACAAAACTACCTCATTACTCCAAACCAGTGAAAAGAAAAATTTTTAATATTAACAGATTAAAGTACTACTTTCATCTGATACAGATAAAAAGAGCCTTTCATTCTTAAGGGACTATAGCTTATCCTCTTATCTAAAATAAAACACTTAAGTCTGTGCAAAGCCACCAATTATACTTTCTTAAAGACTTTAGGTGTTAATACAAAGAACTATGTAACACTGTTCCAAACTCTCTGCTGAGAATATTCAGCACCAGAATATAGCACTGGTTGGTAGACAATAGGCAGTGGAAGATGAAATGGTGACAATTTAGAGTTCTGACGAGAAATGGCTCTGAAACTAACAGAAACTAGTAAAAACTAGACTATGATCTCCCAGAGAACTAAATCTCCCAACTCCTAGATTTCTACCTGACACAAAGCAGACACTTGTTATTTTTCACTAAGCCTCAAAATTTCAAATTTAATTATCCAAAAGGACATGAATGGGGAAACTTTAAGGGATCAAGATAACTCATCAATCAACTGCAACACATGGACCTTATTGAGATCCCAATTCAAATACTGTTGAGAGAGGAGAGCAAGTTGGATTTGAGTAGGAGTCAGACATTTAATGCTATAAATGAATTACTATTCATTTTTTGGTGATTATGCCATTGTGGTTCTCTTTTAACTATGGAATATCCCATGAAGAACAATTATGACGTTCCACAGTAAGTCATTTCTTTTAGTAAAAGAGTCTAGGTAAAATAGATTTCCATTTGGATTCTATAACCAAACAACCACCAAACTCACTGCCATTGAGTTGATTCTGACTCATAAGGACCCCTCCTTGGGTTTCTGAGGCAGTATCTCTATGGAAGTAGACTACCCAGTCTTCCTTCCCAGGTGTAGTGGCTGGTCAGTGTGAACTGCCAGCCTTCTGGTTACCAGTCAAATGCCTTAGGCACTATGCCACCAGAGCTCCCATGGATTTCTATAGATTGTCTAAAAACTTCTAAGTGAAGTTATTAATGCCCTACATGCCTGTATGTCACCACCCATCTGACAATTTGTCATTGTGTGGCAACTTGCTTGTTGCTGTGCTGTTGAAAGCTATGCTACAGGTATTTCAAATACCATTAGGGCCATGCAGAACAGGTTTCTGTAGCACTTACAGATTTAAGACAGACTAGAAAGAAGACATGCCTGGAGAGCTACTTTTGAAAAGTAGACAATGAAAGTGACATGGATCACAACAGAACAATGTCCAACTTGCTCACTCTGGGCAGGTCATCAGAAGGGATCACAGTGGTTGGTAAAGCATAGGGCCTAGCCTATGAGGACAAAGGAGGCCCTCAGGTGAGATGGACTGAAAAGTAGCTGCAACGATGCACTGGAACATTTTGGTAACTGTGAGGATCACACAGAACTGGGTGATTCCGTTGCTATGGGTCCTGTAAGGTAATTTTATGGACAAAAAAACCTTATGTACCTTTTAAAATGAAATTTAAACTTAAAGAGAGCCTCAGTACACTTTTGATCCCAAAAAGTTAAACTTTTCTATGACTAAAATGGAAAAAAAATATAACCACTTAGAATGAAATGGGAAATGGTCTATGCAATTAAAAGTAAAAACCATGGATTGAAAAATCAAAGTTGTGAAAATAAACATGTAATTGATTAAAGTATCCTTGGTCTAATATTCCAGTTTCTGTAAAGTAGTTTTGTTCACATAGTTAACAGCAAACAAGACATTTCTTTACTTTCAAATGAGTATCTTAAATATTTTCATTAATGATGCTGCTATGTACTTACTGTCAAGTTGTCTCTCAGTAACTGCATTATTAGCGTGCTGTCTTTGTACGACTCTTCACTTAATGTATCAAGTTCAGCAATGGCTTCATCAAAAGCCTATGATAAAAAAGTCTATTTTAGTGCTCAAATAATAAGGATTATTAAATTTTCAAAGCAGGTAAAATACATACTGTCTTTGCAAGAGAGCAGGCTTTCTCTGGGGAGTTCAGAATCTCGTAATAGAACACAGAGAAGTTGAGGGCCAGACCCAATCTGATAGGATGTGTTGGCTGCATTTCCTTTTTGCTGATTTCAAAAGCTTCTTGGTATGCCTGTTGTGACTGATCCACAATCCCTGGATAATAAAATACATCAAAATGTACTGATGATGACCTGCATTTCACCTTCAACCCTCAACCCAAATCTTTAATAAGCCAACAATATCTGCCCAACAGTTAAGCTGGTAACACCCTTAACTGATGACAACCTCTAACAGAAAAACATGGGGCTCCTCATGGACTATCACACTCACCACTGGGCCAATGTCAAACTGAAAACAACTTTGTAATCCTCTCAGCACTGTTACATTTCTAATAGTTTGTCCAGCTCTATAGTTTTGCTGTGACCATCATTTCTTAAAGTGGTGTGGAAACATCCCTTTGCACAAAATTGGCTTTTCAGAAAGCATGCATTTTCTAACACCACATTAAGCAGTAGATAATATATTGTTAAAGAGTAAAACAAATTAAGACCATTACAATTCCTCATTCAGTGTTATAAAATAAGCATTTTTAAAACAAAAAATGTTCATGCTTCAGAAATAGACTACTACATCACACAAACTCGACAAAACAGACTTTAAAACAGCGTACCTTTCTTGTCATCACCAGCTGCAACCTCGGCCAAGTAACGATAGTAATCTCCTTTCATTTTCAAGTAGAAGACTTTGCTCTCTGCTTGTGACGCATTTGGGATCAAGAACTTTTCCAAAAGAGACTTAGGAAGGAAAGAAACACAGTAGTAATAAGAATAAAACATTTATAAAATAATTTGCTTTCCTTAAGATCATACTGTTGTTGTTATGTGCTGTTGAATCGGACCCGACTCATAGTGACCCCTCCTTGGGTTGCTGAGGCAGTATCACTACAGAAGCAGATTGCCCAACCTTCCTTCTGAGGAGTGGCTGGTGGATTTGAACCACCAGCCTTCTGGATAGCAGTCAAGTGCCTTAGGCACTATGCTACCAGAGCTCCTTCCTTTAAGATCATACCACAGTATATTAAGTTATGAAACATGAATATCCTGGTATTGCCTGTGAATAACAGTTCAACTGTAAATGCAGTACACACATGTTTTTTAAAAGCAAATTGCTTGTGCAGCAATATTTAAAAACCTATGCCCACAGATATTTCAAACACTAGCAGGGTCACCCAGGACAGGTTTCACCAGAGTGCAGTTCATTGTTCAGTTTACTACTTAAGGGCGATATATTTGACTATTAGTCCTTACCACTATTATTTACATACCAATAAAACCTACATGTTTCCATGAATGTGAAGCAAAATCTCTTACTCAGGAACAATTTTTAACAAGCTGGCAATCTTTCTATTTAAATGTAGTCATGATACTAGAATGGCAAAGACAAGAGACTCATGAAAGATTACTCATGAGATTCTCTGAGGAACATTACTGAAATAAAAACCAATACTGTAATAGAAACTACCACAATCCATGCGAGGATGCGGAACAAAATTAAGTTCATATAAGAACAGAATTCAAGCTGTATTTACAACAGATAGTTCAAAATAGTTTTTATAGTTCTTCCTACCTAAATAAGATAGTGGTATGATTATGAGAATTACAGATTTGAACAGCAGACCTTTAATTTCATTTAAAGTGATTTTTAGCTGATATACATGTTTGCAGATTACTTGGGACAAGAGAGAAAATTAAAACTTCATCCCTATAGTATAATTTTGTTTAAAATCATAACCATAACAAGTTAAATGAATTTAAATCATAACATGCTTTATTACATTGTACGACTGATTTAAAGCAGAAAATGAGATCTTTGTCTATTATTTACATATTTCTAATACAGTTAGAAACAGTTAAAAACAAAAATCACCCCTCCTTTCCTCCCGTTGTTAAAGTATAAGCATACTCTGGAAATCAAAGTGATGGCAATTTTCAACTGAGTTGAGTCCCAAACAAATCAAATTCTTTCAAGGAAAAAAGAGCTCTAATTCTTGGTTTCTCTTTTGTCAGGCAGTCACACGGTACAATACTGTGTGTGTGTGTGTGTCTATATCTAACCTACTCACATGCAAAATACAGTCTGAACAATGCTTTTTAAAATGTTAACTCTATAACTTTGTGTGTTTACTGCCTCATAATGTACCAACGGTAGATGGGTGAACAACCTTTAACCAAGTTTTCACACTTCTCTACAATTTCAGTTACAGACACCTAGTGTAGTGGCAGTACAGAGATCAAGCTGCACTGCATTACATGAAGGGGCTACAAGTGCAAAAAGTCAACCTGGAGTGATGGCTTGTGCTTATTCTCATCATTATTAGAAACAATAGGGCTAAACCCAGAAGAGCACTTTGGTCAGGATAAAAAAAATTATTAACACCACACCTATACCTTCACAGTCAAAGCCTTGTCAAGCAAAATAATGATCTATCCTTTAATACACCATACACTCTTAACAAAACATTTATGGTTGTTCTTTGGGGACATGCCTCAAACAGCAGAAGACAGTTAAATATTCTAAGTGGTTTTCAGTTAGGAACTATGATCTTTAAGAAAAATGACCAGAGTTTTTCAAGTGCTATGCCTTTATACAAAATGAATTATTCATTAAAGTTTTGGGCAAGGGTATATAGCATAGCAGCTTTGGAATCAGATCTGGTTTGAACTGTAGCACTCCAAACTGTGATGTACTTAATCTCAGTGATTCCGTTTTCTTCATCTGTGAAGTAGAGATTATAACACATATTTCTAAAGGTTGTGAGAGAAAATGCAAAGTGTTTACTGTTGTTATCACTATACACCAGACATCACGCTAGAAGCCAGCAGCACAATAAAATACGCTAATACTTCATAAACTAGGTATAGAGATAAGTGAGGATAAATTCCCTCCATTACAATACATATGACAAACTAGTATTATAACAATACGAAGTATGAGACTAAGAAATCCTTATGCAAAATTTTTGGTGGGGAGGGGTAGAGGTTCTGTTTCTTATTGGTTAAGAAAAAGGTTAATAGTGAATTAGCTGTAAAACCTAAGCTGCAAAGGGATTAACGTGATTAACCAGGAATTCACAAATAACTTCAAATTAAACAGAAGAAAATATATTTAAGAAGGCTCCACGAACAATTCAAATCAATTGTGAACTGCTCTCTAGTTCATTTACATTTAAGACTATTCTAAGAATAATTTTAAGTGAAGGAAAAAACTGACAATAATTAAGAGCAGCCATGAAATGAAATTCTCCACCTAAGAATCCTTATTTCTTATTTTAACACAATTTATATATTCATCTGTTCTCCAAATGCTTAGGTAGCAATCACTGACAATGATGAGCAAGATAGCCTCTAAATCCATGGATGAGTGGTCTAGCAAAGAAAACAATTAAAACTAAGAACACTTCCTAATCATGTCCTACACTTTTCAATGATTTTATTTAACCCACTCCACGCATGTAGAGGATGAAGCCGATGAACATGTGCAGTGAGTTAAGGGTGAATTACTTAAAAATTTAAAGCACATACCAGAAAACTTGCAGAAGTTATTTAGGCAAGGTGTCAACAGTAAGTATACCAAATTGAGTTAATCTTTTATGAATATTAACTTCTGTATCTCTAAAAATGTTTTATTTTACACTGGGATAATTCATGTTAAACTAAGAAACTGCCTAGGAATTAGAATAGCAGTTAAGTGCATCTTCCCACAAGCTGAAGACTGAATTAGCCACACACCTGATCAAAATAATTTTAAAGCTATTAACCAGAATCCACAAGTAACAGGAATACTGGGTGGGTAACAGCAGTGAGGCCCCAAATTGGTCTAATTATAGATCCATAAAGTATCATGTGTTAACAGTGGCAGATGTTGCTGGTGAGATGCTGCTGACCACAGTGAACTGAGAAAGGAATAAACTGTCATACTTTTATCTATCAAATATTCAGATGACATTAAGCTAAGAATCATTAAGAGTATAGAACAAAAAGAGAAAAACTAAAGATTAAAAGAGTTAACACTTTAAACAGTAAACTATGTAAGAACAAAACTGTGGTAGATGTCTGAGTGACTATTACAATTCTGGGCTTAAGCATTAAAAGGTCTGGCAGCTTCCCCTTTTGCTGCCTTGAAGCCTGGAGCCATCATGTAAGAAGTCAACTACCCTGCTGGAAAGGGGCCAAGATCCACCTTAGTCATTGGACACATAAAACTAAGTCATCCTAGGTATTGCAGCCTTAGCTCAACTCTCTGCTGAATGTAACTGAGTGACCCCAGCCAACACCATATGAAGAGCTAAGCAGTCAAGTCACAGAATCATGGAATATAGGGTTATCCCATGCTTTTTTTTTTCCCTTAAATTCATCTTCCATACACAGCAGTTCACATAAACTTTGTCTCATGACATTAACTGTAATCTCCCACAATACAACAGCTGTCTTTCCACTTCCTCCCCATAGTTACCTCTTCCCTGTGTCCTTCCCTCCACGCACTCCTGGCCCTTGAGCTGTCTTCCCTGTGCATACACAGCCCTTCTATTCTCCCAGAATTGATTTTCTCCAAGTAAATGTTCAGCTCATATACCTGTCTTTTGTTTGGCTGGAAACCACAGTCTCAGGAGTTCCACCAGACCAGCAAACCTGGTCCTTTTTTTTTTTTTTTTTAAATGATTTTGAATTTCGTCCCACACTGTTCTCCCACTTTACTATCCAGATCTCCTAACAGATCCCCCTCCAAGTGGTTGGCAGTGGGAGCTGTATCCCAAGCTTTTTGAAAGTGTGCTTTACCCTATTTTGCTTTTACAAAGGACCTACATTAGTACCTGTTTTTAGTAATCAAAAGAAATCTTAAAGATTTTCCCTTTTATGAAAAAAGTGGAAAGTGAAACTGGCATCTGTTTTGCAGTGAGACGTTAAATGAGGCAATGCCCAGAGCAGTGACTGGCACTGCCCAGCTCCTTCCCCGTAGCTTTGAATTAATTGTGTCTACGAACACTGTATTTTAGTATAATTATAGGTTTTGTTGTTGTCGTTATTTGGTATCACATTAAAAAAACCAAACTCACTGCCATCAAGTTGGATCTGACTCATAGCGACCCCTCCCCAGGTTTCTGAGACGATGATATCACTATGGAAGTAGATTGCCCAACCTTCCTTATGAGGAGTGGCTGGTGGGCTTGAACCTCCAGCCTTCTGGTTAGCAGTCAAATACCTTAGGCACAACGCCACTAGAGCTCCTTGGTATCATATGGTAGGCTATTATTTGGGAATGCTCAAAAAATTTTCCCATATAAATAATGGTAACTGCTTCTTTGCTTTAGGCCACTTTGGCTTATGAAAGGTTTCATAAGAATACTCTTTTTTTGGATAGCAGGAGAAATCTGTAAATCATTGTTTTATATCACTAAGTTTTGGATGGCTAGTTATGAAGCAAAAGATAACTGATATAATGATATCTGCAACTTTAATATAAACATGACATTCTTGGACGCTTAAGTACTTCTATGATTTTTTTCAAGAAGTTCTGGTGGTACAGTGCCTAAGGCATTTGACAGCTAACCAGAAAGTTAGTGGTTCAAACTCACCAACCACTCCTTAGAAGAAAGACAGGGAAATTTACTTCCTTAAAGATTTATTGCCTCGGAAACCCAATGGGGGTCGCTATGAATCAGAACTCTTTAATTTGATCTTTCCATAACACTAGGAGGTACCAAAAAAACCAAACCCAGGGCCAACGAGTTGATTCT